GCCCGTGGTGTCTGACACGGGAAAACACGGGAGAACACGCGTGTGAGGGTACCCGGCGCCGCGGGGCGACACGCCCCAGCCCGTGGTGTCTGACATGGGAAAACACGCATGTTTATGTGAGAAGACGTGTTTACATGTCAGAACATGTGTCTACATGTGAGAACAGGTGTCTACATGTGAGAAAACACGTGTACATGTGATAGCACACGTGTACATGTGATAGCACGCGTGTACATGTGATAACACGCATGTACATGTGATAACATGCATGTACATGTGAGAACTCAGGTGTACATGTGAGAAAACACGTGTACATGTGATAGCNTGTACATGTGATAACACGCATGTACATGTGATAACATGCATGTACATGTGAGAACTCAGGTGTACATGTGAGAAAACACGTGTACATGTGATAGCACACGTGTGTACATGTGATAACACGCATGTACACGTGATAACACACATGTAAATGTGATAACACACATGCACATGTGATAACACATGTGTACACATGAGAACACGCGTGTACATGTGATAACACGCGTGTACACGTGAGAACACGTGAGAACACGCGTGTGCGCGTGAGCCCCAGCACAGGTGAGGGAATTCAGGGGATTTTTGAGGCCCATTCCGTGAATTTTGGGGTAAAATCCCAAAGATTTGGGGATTTTGGGGGTTTTTTTGGGTCCCTCACCCTGAACATTTTAAGGAATTTTTGGGGCCCATTCAGGTGAATTTTGGGGTAAAACCTCGAGGATTTGGGGATTTTTTTGGGGATTTGGGGTTTTTTTGGGGTTTTTTCTATCCCCCACCTGTCCCTCACCTTGAACATTTTAAAGAATTTTTGGGAGAATTCAGGTGATTTTTGGGGCCCATTCAGGTGATTTTTGGGGCCAATTCATTGAATTTCGGTGTAAAACCTCGGGGATTTTGGGTTTTTTTCGGGGATTTTCGCCTGCCCCCCCCGTGCCCAGGTGTGCCAGGTGTGCCAGGTGTGCCAGGTGTGCCCACCTGTCCCTCACCTGTCCCTCACCTGTCCCTCACCTGTCCCTCACCAAGAACATTCAGGTGAATTTTGGGGCCAATTCAGTGAATTTCGGTGTAAAACCTCGGGGATTTTGGGGTTTTTTCGGGGATTTTCGCCTGCCCCACCCGTGCCCAGGTGTGCCAGGTGTGCCCAGGTGTGCCAGGTGTGCCCGGCCGTACCTTCGGGGTCGGACCAGAGCAGGTCACACATGGGCCCGTCGTGCGGCACCTCCTGCTTGCGGTCGATGGTGCGGATCTGGTCCAGGGTCTGGATGGACGGCGAGAGGCCGCCGTGCACGCAGAAAATCTGGGAATTCGGGAAAGTTTGGGGGATTTTGGGGGATTTGGGGATTTTGGGGACATTTGGGGGATTTGGGAATATTTGGGCAATTTGTGGGATTTTGGCTCATTGGGACATTTTGGGTCATTTGGTTCATTTGGGGGATTTGGGACATTTTGGGATCATTTTGGGCATTTGGGACATTTGGGGGATTTGGGATATTTTGGGGTCATTGGGGAAATTTGGGGGATTTGGAACATGGACTCATTTTGGGGAAATTTGGGGCATTTGGGGGATTTGGGGCATTTGGGTCATTTTGGGACATTTTGGGGAATTTGGGGGATTTGGGACATTTTGATGGATTTGGGAATATTTGGGCAATTTGGGATTTTGGCTCATTGGGACATTTGGGATATTTGGGGGATTTGGGTCACTTTGGGGGGATTTGGGTCATTTTGGGGGATTTGGGTCATCGGGACATTGGTCCAGGGTCTGGATGGACGGTGAGAGGCCGCCATGCACGCAGAAAATCTGGGAATTTGGGAAAGTTTGGGGGATTTTGGGGAATTTGGGGAATTTGGGGGATTTGGGGGATTTGGGGGATTTGGGGGATTTGGGTCATTTTGGGGAATTTGGGGGATTTGGGGGATTTTGGGACATTGGGGACATTTGGGGAATTTGGGTCGTTTGGGGGTGCACGCAGAAAATCTGGGAATTCGGGAAAGTTTCGGGGATTTTGGGTCATTTTGGGGATTTTGGGACATTTGGGACATTTGGGGGATTTTGGAACATTGGGGACATTTGGAGGATTTGGGAAATTTGGGGAATTTGGGGATTTGGGACATTTGGGGGATTTGGGACGTTTTGGGATAATTTTGGGCATTTGGGACATTTGGGGAATTTGGGATATTTTGGGGTCATTGGGGAAATTTGGGGGATTTGGAACATGGAGTCATTTTGGGGAAATTTGGGGACATTTGGGGGATTTGGGGCATTTGGGACATTTTGGGACATTTTGGGGAATTTAGGGGATTTGGGACATTTTGGGGGATTTGGGACATTTGGGGAATTTGGGTCGTTTGGGGGATTTGGGACATTTTGGGATATTTGGGGACATTTGGAGGATTTCGGGGTTTTGGGACATTTTGGTGGATTTGGGGACATTTGGGGGATTTGGGGACATTTGGGGGATTTGGGGGATTTGGGGAAATTGGGACATTTTGGGGGATTTGGGACATTGGGACAGGGTCTGCATGGACAGTGAGAGGCCGCCGTGCACGTAGAAAATCTGGGAATTTGGGAAAATTTGGGGGATTTTGGGGGATTTTGGGAATTTTGGGGATGTGGGGGATTTGGGACTGTTGGGGGATTTGGGGGATTTGGGACATTTTGGGGTCATTGGGGAAATTTGGGGGATTTGGAACATGGACTCATTTTGGGGAAACTTGGGGCATTTGGGGGATTTGGGAGATTTGGGGGATTTGGGACATTTTGGTGGATTTGGGAATATTTGGGCAATTTGTGGGATTTTGGCTCATTGGGACATTTTGGGCCATTTGGTTCATTTGGGGAATTTGGGACATTTTGGGATCATTTGGGACATTTGGGACATTTTGGGGACGTTGGGGACATTTTGGGGGTTTGAGGGATTTTGCAACATTTGGGGGATTTGGGTCATTTGGAACATTTTGGGACATTTTGGGACATTTTGGGACATTTTGGGACATTTGGCGCCATTGGTGACATTTTGGGACATTTCGTTAATTTGGGGGATTTTGGGGATTTGGGGGATTTGGGGGATTTGGGGAAATTGGGTCATTTTGGGGGATTTGGGACATTTTGGGGGATTTGGGACATCGGGACAGGGTCTGGATGGACGGCGAGAGGCCGCCGTGCACGCAGAAAATCTGGGAATTCGGGAAAGTTTGGGTCATTTTGGGGGATTTTGGGGATTTTGGGGATGTGGGGAAATTGGGGAAATTGGGGGATTTGGGGGATTTGGGACATTTTGGGACATTTTGGGACATTTGGGACATTTGGCGCCATTGGTGTTTTTTTGGGA